ACACAGTAAGAAAATGGTATTTCAATTTGCATTGGTTTTGAGTAAATACTTCTAGCCCATTTTTGTATTGTTAAATTTGCAGTGTTTTTTGAGTAAATACTTCTAGCTCATTTTTGTATTGTTAAATTTGCATTGTTTTTTGAGTAAATACTTCTAGCCCATTTTTGTATTGTTAAATTTGCATTGTTTTTGAGTAAATACTTCTAGCCCATTTTTGTATTGTTAAATTTGCATTGTTTTTGAGTAAATACTTCTAGCCCATTTTTGTATTGTTAAATTTGCATTGTTTTTGAGTAAAGCCCATTTTCGTATTGTTAAATTTGCATTGTTTTTGAGTAAATACTTCTAGCCCATTTTCGTATTGCTACAGTAAAAATTCTTTTTATCTATTGCTACCTATATTCTACAATAATAGTTGTACAAAATTTTAAAGGTCACTTTATGTATTGTGCTTGTTTGCGTAAAACGTATACTTACGTAACTTTAACCAATGTCAAGCACTATCAGCGCCACGATTGATTTCTGCCAACTTTGTATGAAATTCACGTCTTAACCCACAATTAAAAAGATAGTTCCTGGACACTTTTCAACTCTTTTTTTTATTGCTTTTGTTGACTCATCTTTGTTTTACTATTCAAAGAATGGATAACGCACAAGCACAAAAAACGGAATTAATATTATTCGCCTTTTGTTGTTATTTCACTGCATTACACAACGTTATTCGAACAAGTCAACATTCATAAAGTTCTAACCAATCTAACATACTCAGACCATTTAACCAAAATAGTAAAAAAAAAGTAAAATATTTTTTACATTTACACCTAATACTTAATTACATAAATAAGAAAAAAATGCGATGTTAAAAAAGTTCTATTACATGATTTTATATGTGTTTTAGGATGTAAAAATGAATTTAAATTGAAAATATACATCTCTGAGGGGTAAAATGATTGTTTAAAACAGATTACAACATGAAAATGGCGTTTATATAAAACAAATCATTCATGCATGTAAAAGAAATCACGATTAGTAAAAGACTTATGGTTAAGTAAAACGAGATAAATCACCCTAAATTAGTGCATTAAGTCATGCTGCAAAAGTAGAGCATGAAATTTTCTTTTAACCGACAAGTTGCAGCTTCATTATACTTGATGCAACGTCATAAAAGCAAAGCAGTTAGGTCACATTTCTGTTTTTGTTTTCGCCGCATTGCAGCAACCATTTTTTGTGCTATGATTTCCTCAGCTCCGCACAAAGTAGCAACAACGAAAAATCTAGTCCAAAATGGCTGAGCTCTTTACAAGCATACCTTTGATGCACTGTAAAATAGAGGCAACGTTTGAGTTCTAGACTGAATAAACTGGGGAATATATATATATATATATACATATCTAAAAGTGTCATGTAGTATATACGATTAACTATGTAAGTATCGCCTTAACGATCGATAACCCCTAGCGGGAGACAGTAGTCGGGCCCTCACCGACTATGGCGCGTGTCCGCTGTCTACCCGTGCTATGCATGCTATACGCTATTAACCTGACCTGACTATACTCGCTTCAGCGTCTATCAGAATCAGGCTGATGAGGGAGGCGCTGCTGACGAGTCGTAGAGTGAACCACTCAGAAGGAAGAGTACGCGCAAGTACAACTGCCTGTAAAAATGTCTCTGGTTACAGGAGAGAAGATATATTCTCCAGCCTTGTTGGGTACTAAGTAATTTACTATAGTTCTCTCATCGATATGCAAGGAATCGCCGTCTTTTTCGTTTGAATCTTCCCCGACGTATCTAATGGGATAGGTGGAAGCTGCCGAGCGTCGATCAGTTCTTGTTTGTAGAGACTTAGTGATGAAAAGCTGGCGGAAACGGAGCTGTCGTCAAATGGTGTCAACTGGTTAGATAGCACAGCCTAACTCTCTATGATATGCGATGGTTTGCTTGTGTGGTTTTGACGCAAGCGATAAACCTGGACAAATCCGATGGTCGACCTCAAAACCCAATGTTTGTGGGATGTAAGACAGTTTGGCACTCTTCCGACGTTCTAGTCTGCACACTCACATGAACCTGGGATTAAAAGATCTCTCTTCAAGCTCCCTGCGGCCTTCGCCTCTTCGATGTCGCTTAACGATGTTTACTCTTCTATATACAATCATCACAGCGGAGCTGATCGTTTACAAGTTAGGTAAGATCGTCTGTTTCTTCGTAACTCACCAGTTACGGTAACTTCAATTCATACTTATTTAATAGCTTCTCTATTGTTTCTTATGTTAATTTTAGGTCATGTCTTTAAAAAAAAAGCCTCGATGACGTAAGAAAATCTAGGAGTGGTTATACTACGTATTTTAGCCGAAGTGAGATGCGGGTTTTAAAAAAACAAACAAAAAACTTGCTCAAGAATTTGAATTGAATCAATTAGCTAGCTCATTATGTACAGATTAGTCCACCAGGGATTGTTTAAACAATGATATTCATTGTGTACAGATTAGTCCACCAAGGATTGTTTAAACAATGATATTTGAGCTTGAACAATCACGAACGTTAATAACTTTATATTTTCGACGAACTTGCAGTATGATGAGCACAAACTTCAATTGATACGTATATAATTTTATATATATCAACTCGAAATCCCTAATATAGCCACCAGTAACACCTTGCGTTGAAAATACGAAACACATTTATTTTTGATATAACTAGAAATTTCGAATTTAAAAAAATAAAGACAAAGAAAAATTTTGGTTATATTTTCCGCCATAACGTGAATTTGAACAGTCGTGTGAAGCAAGGAGAAGCATAAATGCTTATTCCTATAGTTATGCCATATTACTTTAACTCTCATAGATGCTTATTACTTTAGCTATGCCATAATGCTTTAACTCTTATAGATGCTTATTACTTTAGCTATGCCATAATGCTTTAACTCTTATAGATGCTTATTACTTTAGCTATGCCATAATGCTTTAACTCTCATAGATGCTTATTACTTTAGCTATGCCATATTGTTTTAACTCTCATAGATGTTTATTACTTTAGCTATGCCATAATGCTTTAACTCTCATAGATGCTTATTACTTTAGCTATGCCATAATGCTTTAACTCTCATAGATGCTTATTACTTTAGCTATGCCATAATGCTTTAACTCTCATAGATGCTTATTACTTTAGCTATGCCATATTGTTTTAACTCTCATAAATGTTTATTACTTTAGCTATGCCATATTGTTTTAACTCTCATAGATGTTTATTACTTTAGTTATGCCATACTGCTTTAACTCTCAGAGATGATGCAGCTGATGTATTATAAATAATTGTTAGTTTTTATTAAATGTGAAAAAATATATCCCGAATACTCGTTAGAAATATTTGTTTTAGAAGCTGCAACGAGCTCGAGCCGTTTGTCCTTCTAGTGATAGCATGTTTAGCTAGTAGAACAGTCGTCATAAATATTTAGAACGATTCAAGCGTCATCATTTTTCAAACCAGAAAAAAAACACTACCATTATTTTTGGCGACTAGACGTCATTCGATATTAAAAGCACAGTATTTCTAGAACAAAGCGTTAAAACATCTGCCACAAATGTTAATCTAACACTTTTAGAACACGTACATTGTTTGGCTCAATCTGAATCTATTATCATCGATGTTGGTTATATTATCTTTAGTTCTGTAGTCATTCTCCAACTACTCTTATGCCAGTATTGGGGTAATTTTATTATTATTATTATTATTTGTATAAAATATAATCAATTGGTTTTTCTGTTATTGGTAAAGATTAAAAACAGTTCACGATTCTGAATTGGGATAAGTAATTATTTCTATAACCAGCAAAGAGTAGTGGTGTTTCTAAGAGTTTTTATTGGGAGCTAGAAGAGACAAAGAGTTAGTCTGGAGGTAGGAGGAAGTCAAGGGTCAATAAATACAAAGCAAATGGACATTTTGTCTTTAAGTAGTGTCTGTTTATTCGTTTCAATTAGATAAAAATAAACTTACCTCATACTCTCTTAGCACGTGACGGTCTGATGCTGTTTGAAACTACCCTTAAAACCACCCCCGCCCATCCAAAAACAAAATAATCCTGCCATATCGGTGGGAGTCACAATGTAGGGGGGAAAATTTTAAAATCTTAAAATACTCAATATTAATATCTCAGATAAAGGAGGTCTGTTACTTTTCATGCCACCACGGTGGACACGCCCCTGGTATAGACAACATGCAGAACACAACGCTGTATTGGAGCCTTCTAACTGATTTTTATTTTTATATATTTTTTAATCTAGTAGAGAATAAAAACAGTACACGGTGTTTTATTGGGATCCTGGGAATGAAAGAAATGCGTGATGCTGTATTTGGAATCTATAACCGATATATTTATTTATTTATTTGCTGCTGTTATAGAATGAAATAAGTACATGATGCTGTATTGGGAATCTATAACCGATATATTTATTTATTTATTTGCTGCTGTTATAGAATGAAATAAGTAATATATCGGTTATAGATTCCCAATACAGCATCATGCTATTTATTTTTTGCTACTGTTATAGAATGAAATAAGTACATGATGCTGTATTGGGATCGTATAACTGAATTCTGCTATTAATAAACCAAAATCAGTACACGTTGCGGTATGGTACTTGTTAGTATAATTTACAGTAGAAACTTACTTCGCTAACGATCACTTCTTCAGTTACACAAACTTATCCAGATGCAAACAATGACGTCACTCTCTTTATCGAGTTCTTCATTATATTAAGTTGTCGTCAAATAATGTCAATGTCCATTTGCAAAAATGAATGCCAAAACCTTGGAGCATGTTGTTAGCTGACCAAGATGAAAAACACATGGTAACAACCATCTGTATGTGTAGCAAGAATCAGGCAAAAGCCTAGTATATTCTTTAAAAGACATCTCGCAGACTAAATTGTGTTAAACGTAACAAACCAAGACAGTGTAATTAGTAATTGCATGTTTTACTTACTATCCAAACTTGCATTAATTGATCGTAATCTGTGTTGGTGCCAATTACATTTCGAACACATCTAAGTCCTGGTAATTATAAATATAATAATAGTTTGTTTGTTTTTCTAGATATAAAGAACAACTCTCGATTATTTCTATCATATGTTTTCAGGCTTTATTAGGATTATATAAAGTGCTTACATACATTTTCTCGGGGGAAAAAAAAGGAAAGCGCAGAAATCTGATAACCTAACACGCTAGTGAAAGTTCTCGTGTCTGACATTAACATTGTGCAAACACGTTTCTTTGTTTTTATTTTGAATAGATATTTCAGTAGAAATGTAAATCGGGCTTTAGTCGCACAAAGATCATTAATCGTTATAAAGTCCTTGAAAATTAACCTTTTCGTGTTATGGCAGACAGAGAACAATGAAGTTGTGCTCAAGAAAAGCATCACGTTTCTATTGTCTCTGCGGCAATCAGCCAGACACCACGATCGATGAGCAACTTGAACCTAAGCAGAAGCCAATGAAATTGTGCAAGCAGCATATTCAAACTGTCGTAGGGTAAAACTGTTGAAACAGATACATTTCAAGGTCTAGAAGTTTTTAACCCTGTCCAACACAATTCCAGAGAGTTATTGTGTCCAGCGTTAAAGGAAAAACAAGGTAGAAACTGCAGCAGTAATGAACCAATTACATGCGTTTTTAATGACGAAATTGTTGGCAATCAAAATCTTTTGTTTTCCTTTCGAACAATTATAATAGAAAAAGCAAGATGTCGCTATTATCCGCAGTGAAGATTTAAATCGAAGTTTCTTCGTTTGTGTATTTCCCTATTTTTAGTAGGCGTAGACAAGTAATTGTAGGTCAGGCTACGCTGCAATACACTCCTGTATTCCAGGAAAAACCAAAATGTCGAATCATAGAATGAATTTACAACTTTCATTTTATGAAGTAAAAACCTCTATGTTTTTTTTTTATAATTATGGCCAGAACTTTCCATCATGCATTAAAAAACAATTGTATTTCAAACACTGTATCTTATGTGTAACCACAGGTGATTAAAGCAAACAATTATATTCGGGAATGTGTAGTTTTGCTTAACTTGAACCTCTTCTAAAGTTATTTTACTCTTGACTTTAAATGGGAAATACGCGCGTCTTAAAAATAAATGGAAATCGTGATATAGAACAAAAAAAAATGCCACTGAAAAATTGAAAAGACAATTTTGATCTAAAATTTAATAAGTATGTTTGAGAACATCTTCTTAACACTGGCCTACAATAGGCACGTCATATCGTAATTACACAACTTAACGTTGCTTTGAGGCATACCGACGAGCATACAGCTTAAATTCAAGTCTTTTAGTATTTGTGATACTATTTTAGACCTAAAGTTAACGTTAAAAGAGTTTTTACTTGTAACTGTTCGAACGCTACACAATAGGTTATCTGTTCTGTGCCCATTGCAGGGATCGAAATTCAATTTTTAGTATCATAAGCCTTCAAGCTTACCGCTGAGCCACCGTGAGATATGTGAAAAGGTTTTTTTTTAGTATGAATAGAATTATAAGTGAATATGTCTTATTCTGTACGCTTATCTTTTTAATTAGAGATAATTCTTCTCAATATACTCTTAACACAGTAATCTCAATTTTAATTACGAATTTTCAAAAGTTTCTGTATCTATTTTAAAGATCAGTTGAAGTTAATATTTTCATTATTTGTAGCTTTCATCATTTTTAAAAATAGAGAAAATTGGAAGGCATAACACAATATCAAAGATACTAAAGTATTTTAAGGTCAAAAACAATCTTATGAACAATTTTTATCAGATTAAATATATATTGTGATGACGGAAGAAAGCTTCAACCTCTGAATGCATTATATTCATTTTGTACTTAGCACACACTGTAATTGAAGGGTTAAAAATGAAATTTTCGTTTAGGCTTTGATAGATAACATTTAATTCAGACAAAAAGTAAGAGTTTTTTATTATTATATTAACAAGTATAGAAAAAATATTTAAAACTCTTTCACGTTTAAAATGTACATTATTGGATTCGCTTGCTAGTTCTAAGCCTTTATTATAATCGTTTATAATCCAAATTAGGCTCTTACGTTAAAATAATATTTTCCAACTTACTCCAATGCTTTTAAATAAACGCTGGACTTTATTTCAAAATGAAAAATAAAATTAGCTTTTTCCAGTAACTGTTTAT